CCTGCCCCTGCCCCTGCCCCGCGGAGCCGCCGAGCTCTGCAACTCCGCGTCCGTGGTGGGACAAGTAAGCGGAGCGCCCCGCAAAACGGACCTGCGGCTGGCAGTTCTGGCTGTAATGTAGGGTGTCGCTTGGTGTTGCAGCAGCGCGTCTTGTTTTGTCAAAGGTAATGAAATAGTCGGATTGTGGTACCTCATCTGTTGAAAATTGAGAAGAATGAAGTTTATTTTTAGGAAGAAAGCAGATCAGGGCAGGTGACGCCTTGTCCGGGGTCTTGCTTCCAACACAAGCTATCTCCAAAAGTGGAAAATGTGCACAAAGCCTGGCAAAAAGTAGTATGGAGTAAGTTTCTCATAGTATTTCTTAATCCCCTTCTCTCAGGTTGTGGTATGGCTTGAATCACAATAGTTTATTTTCCTCTCGATTATTTTGTAAGAAAATCTAGACAGTCCTACAAATTATTAGATTTGTGGTTTGACAGTGATGAGATAGTGAAGTGATGTGGTGAAGTGATGAGATAGTCCTCTATGGACCCAAGTTTTACCAAAAACTAGTCTGGAAGAATACACCAAAGACATATAATATCCTACACATTTTTGAAGAGCTAGTCTTCAGGGCTTTTCTGGCAGAGTAGAAGATTTAGTTTTAACTTCTTCCCTCTGCTTAAAAAAAAAAAAAAGATTCCATCACCACACAGTATATTTGTTTACTTACTTATAATCTTGATCAAAAAGATAATTCCATAAGATATCATTTCACTTTTAAGTGTGTGATTGACATATTTTTGTGTATGCTTAGCACTTAGTGAGCTCAAGCTCAACAAAGCCAGGACAATGCTTCTACTTTCCAGGCTTTCACCATGTCTCTTCTACTGATAATGTACCCCAAGCTCAGTGATTGTTTGGGCCTGTAGCTTTGGGATTCTCTTCAATGCAAACAGCTTTTCTAGGAGTTTTCATATCTCAGTGATTCTTCCCATACAAGGTCTCTAATACAGTTTTTTCTATCTCATCATCCTACAGCTTGTTTTTACTGCAGTTCCTCTCTGGTTTTGGTCCTCTCCCACTCCCAGCTTCGCTCTTCCACTGTTTCTTTTGCACCAGCTCCAGCACTCAGTGGAGCCCTCAGTAAGCTGATTCAGCTCACTAAGGCAGCAGAAAATCAACCTGGGGGGTGAGGGGGAGAATCTGTTCTTATAGTGAGCTGGATTAGTTCTCCAAGGACAAGAGCACAGAAGCTTACAAGAAGAAGAGGAAGAGCAGTAGGTCTGTGGGGAAAGAAGGAAGGATGGGAAAGGAGGAAGACAGAAGGATAGCACATATCAACACAAGTGAGCTCTTAGTTCAGTTCAGTCATCTTATTGAACCATCTCTGAGAGCATACATGTAGTTCAGCTGGTAGGCTGAATACCACCTATTAAACTCTGGAAATTCAATTGCACTTGAACTAATATATGAACCAATAACTAGTTTGTAAGTTGTCTGGAGCACGTATTATACATTATACATTGCCTTTGGGATCTTTTTATATGGCTGGGATTCTTAGCTGTTATTATATATAATTAACAACAATTTTCAAG